CCCCAAAACCCCAAAACCCCAAAACCCCAAAACCCCAAGATAAACACTCTTGATTGAATTACTATTAACTCAAAAGAAATTCTTTAAATATTTCTTAGGCTCTCTGGCATAGATCTGGAAAGCTTCGGTGATTTTGAAGATGGTGTATCAAATTCTTCTAGCAAAGATTCTACAGGCAAACTCTGGGCTTTTTTCTGACTCTGTTGCTTCTTTATAAGCAAATTTCCTCTCATTGTCAATCCCAATCCTACTAGAACTCCTAGTGTTCCGATATAGGTTAGGATTCCTGGCATGTTATCTTGACCAAGAAATACTCCAATAACTTCTCCAACAATTGGATCAAGAAGGAAAATACTAGCCACAATATGAGGTGGAAAATAGCTCAGTGGGAAAACATATCCTCCAATACCAGGAACTCCTGCAAGAAGAGCCACAAAAGTCAAGGAATATATTAAATACTCCTCAGAGGCCCATCCAAGTAATCCATAATGAGGATCAAAAGAGACTGTATTCTCGTATCCAGAGAAGCAAACATAAACTGGAATCACAAGCATAAGTTGAATAGAGAAACTAGCTACAATTATAACCATTGCTGGGAGCTTTGTTAGCAAATTATCACTATAAACAACATAAAGTCCATACAAGGGAGATCAAGCAACTGCCACCATATCACCCCAAAATATATTAGTCTGATTATTTGTCTTGGTTGATGAATTGTCATTAACACAAAGTACTCCTGCAAAAACAACTATGATAGTTCCAAAAATTTCAAGATAATGGACTGGGAGAAATCTAATAAGGTTCATCAGTACTATAAAGACACCTCCTAAGTTAGCAAGAAGATATGAATGGGACACAAGAGTATAATCAGAGCTCCAAATAAAAAATACATCAGCTACAACAAAACATAATGATGACACAAATAGCTCCGTTGCTGTTCTAAGTGTCCATATCTTTGCATGATCAAGGTTCTTCCTGTTCTTATGCCAATAGTATACGCTCAAAGGAAACCCATAAAGAACAGTCAGTTCAAATCTCCAAATAATTCTCAAAATAGATGGCACTCCTTCGTACCTATCGACTAGAGGGACCACAGAAGATGTGCACAGAAGCGCAATAATAGCTACGAGGATTCCTATATTGCAGGGGAAATGAGAGCTAGAAATGGGAGGATTATGAATAATAATAAAAGTTAGGTTATGCAAATAATTTAGAATGTAGGTGAAATTGGTCAAGAAAAGCCAAAAAATCCAGAGCTAGGTTTTAGAATTTTTATGAATTCTAACGACCCTTCCTCATCAAATATTTAACCACTCCTCCACTTTAACTTTCTCTATCCTCCAAAACAGCACACTCTAGTCCCAAAGCTCCTCCTCCACCCCCTCCACCCCAGCCCCTCCCTCGCCTACATCTTACATACTCTTCCAAAGCTTCTCTCCCCTCCAAACTTCCTCCCCCACCCAATAAAAACCTCACTTAAACCCCTCAAAATCTTACCAACAGCCATATTCTTGTCCTCTTCCTTCTTCTCAGTAGTCTCTTCACTCTCTACCTCAAAAGACTCCATCTGCTCCCAAGTTAAGATATTAATCAATTAGAATTTTTTATTCTGGGGTTTTGGGGTTTTGGGGTTTTGGGGTTTTGGGGTTTTGGG